GGCCTCCCAAAGTGCTGGGATTACAGGCTTGAGCCACCGCGCCCGGCCTCTGTTTTCTAGTGAAGAAACGGATGATGCAGCAAAGATCAGTGAGCCACTGTGCCTAGCCCTAGCCAACTATTTCTGCAACACTAAGATAGTCAATAGATTCAGGTCTTCCACATCCTCCTCCCAGAGATTCTTTATACACATATAAGGAAATACCAATATAAACATGAAACTGGGAAATATAAAATCAAAATGCAAAGCAAGAAAAAGTACTGAGGTCTACTTTCTCCAGCTCTCCAGGTCAAGAACCAAGCTCATCATATATTCTGTAGTGCTCAGTTCAGGAGGTGTCAAAGGAGTCCAAGACTTACTAGGATGTAATTGGGGAGCCATAATGTCTCAGACTCAGTTTCCTTTTCACAGACTTGATGATCTTTCAGGTATCTTGTAGCTCTAACATTTTAAAATTTCTGCAGGTGAAACACTAGGTGTATGGTGCAGAAATGAGACTGTCATGAGCTAGAGTAGTTACTGATTCTAATCTGGGCATGGGAGGGACAAAAGTACTACAGGTCAGTTGTGCCCAGCACCTTGCTGCTGCTGTATTTAGCATCCAGCTTCCCCACCCTCAGAGACTTGGGTTCCACTTCTGCTGAGATAAAGTAGGTTACGGACCTGGCACTGTTCCTTCTATCTTCTTGACCTTGGTCAGTAAAGAAGACAACAATATGACTAAGTGACTTTCGAGAGAGCAACCAACCATGTAAGATGTCTATGACCATGCTCTGAAGAAGGGACAGAGCATGACCTGAAAGCATTTCAGAACACTCTAAGCAAGCACTGCAGGAACGCACTGGGTCACCCTAAACCCAAGCATGCTGAATGGTTTGCAAAAGTCTAGTTTTGCTGTTAAAAAAATAATCAAGACCGGGCGCGGTGGCTCAAGCCTGTAATCCCAGCACTTTGGGAGGCCAAGGTGGGTGGATCACGAGGTCAAGAGATCGAGACCATCCTGGTCAACA